AGTAATCAATGCGAAGGGATTCTGGGTATTTAATTCAACAGTCCCCTGAGAATGTCCTTATAGTGTCGTGCATCTTTATTTTACAAAATAGACTTCTGAAGAATAGTTGGTGAGAATGCGTAGATTCCCATCGATCCATTAAGTTTATATGGAAACGGGGTACAAGTTAAACGAAAATTATTGACCGCTTGTTTAACTTCTATCCCCTTCCCATATAAATGTAATGGCCCAAAGAGAATTGATCGAAAGCCTACGTGTGCTTGCCAACTACTTTTCTGAATTCTCTGATGGGAATTTTTGCAACTTTAAAACAGATTTCATGGATATGGTTATCAGCTATGCTAAACAATATGCGCATGCGTTTATTTTGGAATCCGGAAGCGATATTTTTCCGCCGAGTCCGAGTCGTTAATTGCCGCAATTCCATCATCCGTGTTTGATGTTGGCGTGGTAAGTATACGAAAATTAGACTCGCTGTCATTGAAATTGTTGATGGCCTGCACCCATCCCACGTAACTGATTCCCCTGCTCAGGCAAAGTCCCCGTGCATAATATGGGAACGGCAAGTCGTTGCGCTTGTTGATGGACTGCGGGCCTGTGAACCATGACTCGAGCAGCTCTTACTTGTCACCTCTTGCGAGAATTTCGGCCTCCTTAAACTTGAAAATATGGCCGGGCTCCGCCGAGCGAGCTGCAACTTGAGAGCTAACGTCTTTCCTTCTCATCGGTCCTCCGTGCTCGGCCATTCGTGTCCAGACTAACCTCCCGGTTTCTCTGACATAGTTGCTTTGTCCACACCTGCACCACATTCAGGAATCAGTCATGTGGGAAGGGCGCAGGATACACCAATTTCGATGACAGAAAGTCTTATTGTTGCAAAATTGCCCTGCCAACATCCAACGCGGACGATGAACTCTCGAGAATTAATGACACGGACGCGGACTGTGAACCATCATCGTATCAATCACCACCCCAATTGATGATTACGAGAGCTGCTAATTTTGGTACGCATGTGCTCGCGTGGCTGCTATGACCTATTAATGCTGCGTAACCTACCTCTTTATCACCCTCTTCGGTGATTGTCTCTAAGGATGGGATCACGTCAGAATCAGAGACGTCAGGCCAATAAGCTTCTTGTTCCAGCGATCCCATTTTCCGCTTCCGAACTGCTTCCTGGAACTGGAATGTTCGCGTCAACTAAATACTTGTTTTTGGTTTTGCCTTGGCATTAAGATCTAAAGCCATCACAGGTGGTCTTATGGTAGGGGATGTAGGAACTTGGTTGCCAATGACTTTGTCGCTACGCGAGGCCTGAAATGGGACCAAATAAGGTAATTATAGCCAACCAAGAGGCACACTTTCCTCCCTGAAATCAAATCTGACAGCTTGAAGTGACTGCCGTAAGACTGTAAACACTTTGGGAATGCGCCAGTTAACGGAATCTAACGAACCGCGTATGCACATGTAATTAGGATATTTCGCGGGAATCTTTCCAGGAAAATTAGATTGCATTATGAGATACACTTGTTTCACCGAGGACGAAACACTATCTCATAGTTTTGAAAACAAATATAAAGTCAGTTAAGGCTAAAAGTACTGGTTATGTTTAAGTTGCCTACTAACTGACCTTGTAATTTTTTAGGAACCTAGTTTAAGGTTTCTCCATTATTTTTAGAACGGGTTTGTTTACGCCCGACCTGGCATTTGAAACGATCGTCCGCAAGCAGATTGAGCGCATGAAGATTCCTTCACTCAAGTGCGTTGATCTTGTGGTCGCCCAGCTAACGGAGGTTGTCCACGAATGTACTGCCAAGGTAACTCGAAAATAAGGCGAATGCGGAATTTTCCTTCGTCATCGTTATGCTATTTTAAATTTTACGTCGGCCATGAATTTTATTTGAACATATTCCTTTCGTTCTCATGCGGTAGATTTTGTTTTCTAGGTGTTTAAGTTCGTTAAATATTCCCATTTTTTAACTTGAAAAGTTAATTTGTTA